GACCACGCGTCCTCGAGAGGACGGAGCATTGTTCCCACAGGACCGATCACCGATGGCCAATCGGGGGGGTACATTCGGCTTGAATCTGGCGATTTTTTGCTGGTAGCGCCTGGAAAAAAGAAAAAAAAAAAGAAAGACGAAATTTCCACGGACAGGTCTTTTCTCTCGCGGCCCTCTTCGCGAAACTGTTAGGAGTGTCCAAGCGGCGGTGGGGCCAAAAAACATCCGGTCCATTTGGCAAAATTTGAGGGGGGCACGCGGATTGGGTTCTTTTTCTGGTTCTTGAGAATCCCGCTGTTAATACTGAATAAACTATACATTAAGTCAATTTGTTTGAGCAGGCAGCTCTGCGTTCAGACAGCAGCATGGCTCTTCATGCGTTACACACATCTGGACACAGGTCCAATAGACGTGACTGTCAGCTCGATTTTCTCTTCAAGTTAAACGGCGGACGAACAACACCAAAGAACATGTTTTTTGGGCTCTTTGCTCCACGCCCCAGGCGACCTTCGCTCTTCTCGTGAAAGCGAGCTTACAGCCCTCTACCTTGGGTTTACAGCTATACCACACAACAAACCGCATCCGAATCGCATCAGCCAACCACGAGATCTACATATCTGAGAACGGCCCCTCCAGTGGGGCTGCAGCGCCCACACCAGCAGACCCTCCCCCAAAAAAATCGAGGTCCGCGTCGTTTGGCAGCAGGAGGCGCGCTGCGCGAAAGCTGAATCAAAACAAAACGAAGTTTGAAGAGAGGACGGGGCAGTGTATGGTTGCCACGTCAGCAGAAAATAACACGCGGCGCGCTATCGAACGCGGCAGCCTCACCGTCGTAGAGCGAACGCTGGAGGAAACGAAGGAGGAGTTGGTCAAAAGTAAGATAATTGTGGAAGAGAGCCAGGCTGAACCTCGCTGCCGCCGCCGCCGCCGCTGCTGCTGCTGCTGCTGTTTTGAGGCTCCGACGGTTCCGTGCAATTTCATTGGTTGGTCGATTTTCCATCAGCAAGATCCGAGGACGCTTTTTCGAATTTTTTCCTGAAGTAAATTTTCCGCTTTGACACCCCTAAGTGTTGATATCTCGACGACCACGACCTCGATTCACAAGTGGATTTCTGCAGTAGATAAGCAAAAAGTGGCAGGACAACTTTCGAGCTGTCGTCACCTTGAATACGTGTCCCTTGTGACCCTCTCGATGCTGTATTTGTGGCAAAGCGCAAGAAAGTCAGCACCTACCTATCTATCATTTAATGAGTAGAAGGTCTTGCATATCAGCAAGTACACCGCCCATACATAGCAAAAGCAAGTAAGCCCAGCAGTAGTCAAGGGCAGCAGCAACAGCGGTGTTTGGAGCAGCAAATATGTAGGGTGAGGCGGTGCTGCCGTGAGTTCGGTGAGATCCGCGCTTGCTTGGTGTGGTGGAAAGATTGGATGCCGTCGCCGCCCGTGCATAATTCCCAACGGCATGTAAGGCGTCTGGCTCTCGCGTTCACTCTGCGCAGTCATGCCACACTACGTCACCATCAACAACAGTTAACAGCTGCAGGAAGAATGTGTCAGCACTCGTGCTGTAGTCTTGAGATGTGTAGTGCCACAGGTCTGCGCTTGTGATGCGTGCAAGATCCCTCCTGCCGTCCTGCCGCTGCGGTACGTCGTCTGCGAAGAAAGCGCATCTCTTCTTTCTCCCTGCCCAGGCCCAGCAGTCCTTCCGCCACAACCCCACTAACAAAAACAACCACCAACAGCA